ATTTCCGGCGACAGCGATTGGGTTGGGCGTGCCTAGGTTGGTGGTGAAAGTCGGCTTCGAAGGGTATACGCCTTGGATCTGGTTGATATCGGCGGGATTGATGGGCGAAGCGAGGAAGCGCAATGTCATGAAGTTGCTATGCGGCGGCGAGATGGAATGGCCATGAAGGGAAAGAACAGCAGGAGGCTCGCCGTATTCGGAGAATGTGAGGGCTTTGGCTTGCTCGTAGCCGTATGCGGAGATGTAGCGGCGCTGCGGAAGTCGCGATACGGCCGGGGCTAGGTGTCGTGTGCGGCGCAGACATGACTGCGCTAATCGCGGAGACGGCGAGATGAGTTTGGTAGTCATTGTGAGTGGCGTAGACACTATGGAAGTGATGTGAATTGGAAGTCTGCGGAGCTCATGGAAGATGTTTTGGAAAGACGGAGCTATGACGTTTGCTAAAGCCGAGGTTTGGTGGAGCAATGGAGCTCATAACACGCATCACTTTCGACACAGTACATGCAGTGCATGTCTGTAACAATTATTGACGCGCGAAGGTTTTGACGGGATGAATTCACATTCTACATGCTAAGGTAGCGCGAGTTACAAGTCTCGCCTTCAGCCCAAGTCTCTAGATGCCAGATGTTGCTTTGATCCACTGTTTCTCATAAGCTCGCAAGAATACTCGCATCAGCAAATGGGCAACAATGCGCCACAGCCTGCGCCATAAACTACGTATGAAGAAGCAATGGTAGACATTCACATGCAAGACGGCCCAAGAGGCGCTTCGTGAAGGTTCCCGCCAGGTGTGGGCATCTAGACGCCACTAGCACCGCCCCGCGTACGTCATCGGCCATGCGTGTTGCTAGGCTGCGCCCTCCTTGAACTGGCAGGTTGCTGCATACCCCTCTTGCTACAAATAGTCCCTTTCGCCAACACACCCTGTCCACCGCATCACTCAAAGACTCAAAACACCCTTCAACCACTATACCACTACATTCAAATCCCCTCAAAGCATCCCACACATACATCAAGATGGCTGCCACCGTCAACGTCGAGAACATCTCCACCAAGACCAGCGAGGATGAGATCAAGAGCTTCTTCTCCTTCTGCGGAAAGATCCAGTCGCTCAGCGTGAAGCCCTCAGGCGACGACACCCAGTCTGCCTCGGTCACCTTCGAGAAGGCCGCCGCCGCAAAGACCGCCCTCCTCCTCGACAACACACAGCTCGGCCACAACTCGGTCCAGGTCACGTCCGCTAAGAGCATCGACGAGATTGCCGGCGAGAAGTCTGCCTCCGCTGACGACGCCAAGGACGGTGACCACCACATCGAGCAGGAGCAGAAGCCCCGCGCACGCATCATCGCCGAGTACCTCGCCCACGGCTATGCCATCTCCGACACCGCCATCGAGAAGGCCCTCGCCGCAGACAAGCAGAACGGCTACAGCACCAAGTTCATGAACGTCCTCAACAACTTCGACCAGAAGACCCAGGCTACACAGAAGGCGCAGGTCGTCGACCAGAAGTTGGGCATAACAAACAAGGGCTACGCTGCCTTCAACATGATGACCAGCTACTTCGACAAGGCTGCTTCCACCCCCACCGGACAGAAGCTCCGTGCTTTCTACGAGCAGGGAAACAAGACCGTCATGGACGTCCATAACGAGGCTAGGCATTTGGCCGACCTTAAGAAGCAGAAGCCTGCCAGCGAGGGCGGCGTCGCTACTGAGAGCAGCGAGAAGCCCGCCGAGGGTAGCAACGAGAAGAGCGGCGAGTCCTACGCCGCCGCCGCTGCCCCCACGTCCTAGATACGAACACCTTAAGTGCTCACGGCGGAGGACTGGAACGACATTTCTTTCGATTCAACGATTCCCACTTGGTTTACAGTCTGTATGAATACTTGCGCATGATACCGATGACGGCACGAGCACGGAGTTTGGAATAAGATGGTTTAGCAACCTACGAAAACACAATTCTATCTAGTAACCATTGATCTTGGACCCTGTATTATCGCGTAGTGATGGTGTTCTATTACGATCTTTTCTCGAACAACGATATAAACAAGCACGCAGAAAACAAAAAGACCAAAGCTAATGTTCCTCCTATCCCTCTAGTATCCCCACTCTCCACTATCCAACAGGCTCTGGCTAGCCACAAAGCTGAACCCTCCAAACGGATTGCTAGAAGCCTGGCTCTCAAACATCAAGTCGTCAAACTTCTTCGTCAGAACAGGACTCAGCGGCAGGTCGGTGAAGTCCTGGGCAAAGTTCTCTGCCAACTCCGGATCTGTAATGAGTGGCTGGATCGGCGGCTCCAACTCCCTCGCTTCCAACTTCTTCCAGTCGATCTTGCGGAAAAACCTATGTTTCTTGATATTAGGCAAATCCTTGGCCATGTTGAAACCTAGCCGCTTCTTGGGGTCTTTGCGGAGGAGGCGAGTGAGAAGGTCCTTGGCGTCGGCGCTGAGGTAGTAGGGCAGTGCGAGTTTCTGCTTTACAATCTTTTCCTGGATCTTGGCGTTGTTGTTACCGGTGAATGGAGGAGCGCCAGTGAGAAGATCGAAGCCGAGTGCGCCCAAGGACCACCAGTCGACTGCCGCGCCGTACTCGTGACCTTGAACCACTTCCGGAGCCATGTATTCTACGGTACCGAGGATGGAGCGGCAGGGGCTGTCTTCATCAAGACTGACTTTGCTGAGGCCAAAGTCGGTAAGGAGCAGGTGGCCCTCGGAGTCTAGGAGGCAGTTCTCGGGCTTTAGGTCGCGGTAGATGACGCCGACTGTGCGGTGAAGGTGGTCGAGCGCAAGCACCATTTCAGCCATGTAGAAAGCGGCCACGTCCTCGGAGAACATGCGCTCAGCTGCGAGGTGGTGGAACAGCTCGCCTCCTTGGGCATACTCCAGAATGAGGTACAGCTTCTCCTGGTCCTGGAAGGCATAGTAGAAGTTGACGATAAAGGGGTGGCGGTTCACGCTCTCGAGCACGTTGCGCTCCGTCTTGGTCTGCTCAATGAGCTTCTTATGCACGGTGATTGACGCCTTCTTGAACTGCTTCTGCGCGAAAAGGCGGCCTGTCGCGCGCTGCCTGACCAGCAAGACGGTGCCGTAGCTGCCCTTGCCCAGACACATCAACGGCTCAAAATCCTCGGCCGTCATCTTGCGCGCCATGCCACTGTTCAGCATGGTCGAAGTCTTGGAGAGCGTGTCGATGCTGAAGTCTTCTGCGTTGAGGTCGATTTCGTAGCTCTCCATCTCCGTGCGGTCACTGTCACTTTCCCGGCCAGACATGCTAGTGTTGCTCGACAACTGCGATGTGACCCTGCTCATAGCGACACCCTTTCCTGGGGAATCCTTCATGGGTGAATCGCTCCTTGGGCCTAGGTTCAGCGCCTCCAGCTGGGCTTTGAGGTTGCTGATGCCTCCCGCAGTGGATTGGGGTCTAAGCGCTGGGCTGCTGGTGACGCTGGGAAGTCCAGAGCGCACAGGTCCGAAGCGCGGTGTAGTGGCCAGAGAGTAGTCCGACTCCTCCCCACCAGACGTGACTGGAGTGTGAAAGCCCCGGGTGACGCTTGTAGCTTGTAGTCCTGCTTTCAGACCCTTCTTTTTCTTCTTCTTGTTCTTCTGAGCCTTCTTGAAGACGGCGTCGAAATCCAATTTGTCTGGTCCTTGCTGCTTGCCTTCGGGGCCGGGCTGCACTGCGCGCTGTGGCATAGGGCTGATGATGTTGATCGGCGGGGTTCCTACGTGGAGGGGCGCTTTGGGCGGGCTCATGTCCATGGGTCCCGAAGCGAACATGTCGTCTTCGGGCATGGCAGGCTCAGGGTTTCGCGGCGCGTTGGCCGGAAGTTGGGCATCGTTCTGGTCGAATGCGAAAACCATGGTAACGGCAGTGAGGGGTAATGCGATAAAGAGTTGTCACTCTCCAAACTACGCCCGTGTTCTGCTCAAGTCAGCATTTGCGCACGCTTTGGAGAGGAGTTCGCGCACATCCAACGCCGGTCTTGGGCAAACCAATATTACAGTCCGCCGCGAGGATTCACGGCGGAACTCCTACCCCTAGCCGGACCAGCGATGCGAAAGAGGCGTCCGTCTTGTTCAGGCCTGAGCTCAGTGCGGTGTAGGGGAAGAAGGAGCCAACTGCGGTAAGCTGAGCGGTGGGTAGGAAAGCGGTCGCGGCGAAGGAAGCAGAGCCCATAGATGGTTGTAGTGGAATATTGGGAATGTTAATGGTCGGAGCCAGGATTCGGGCCTGGCAGTAAATCTGTCTAGTGGAAGTGTCGCGGTGTTGGGAGAAGTCGTGTTTGAAGGGGTTTTGGCAGAAAGGAACGCGATCAGCGGGAGAGGCTCAATCGCCAGCTTCTTAATTTGGTGCCTTGGCGGGCTCGCGGTGGCATGTGAATGAGCTTGCGCTTAACTGGTCATCCGCCCCAGATCCACCTCCACACAAACTCGGAGATCCACCCCGTGCTTTCATTTGCATCATATTTGCATGCCCTATGAATGTCATGCGCTTGCGTCGCTGATGCGATCGCTGCTGATGTCGTTCGCTGCCACGCGCGCTGACACTGAAACTGCGATCGCGTCTCAGTCGACAAAGACAGCGCAACGCTGATCCAACGCGTCTCTCTTCGCGAATGATTTTACACGGCAAGGGTATCATACGCTGCTGTGAAGAAACTCCGACCAAGGATATCGCGAAATGAAGCTACTAGCAATAGCCCTGATGAAAAGCTAGCGCCTCCCTACGTTGTCAAACGGGACCACGGAAGAACAAAGCGCGACGCTTGACGTATAGGGGGCGCCGCAAGACAGAACTGCTACATCTCACGCCCACAACGCTGCTCGTTCAAAAGACTAGCTTCGTGACCCTGCCGCCGGCCGGAAAATGCGAACTCGCCATCCGAAGCTAGGCGGGTGCTGCAGCTGTAATTTCGGCGTCCTCGGTAACTGACACGAGGCACAGAAACACGTTTTATAACGCCATTTATATTTATCTCAAGCCTCGGATTTTCCATCAACGCCTTCCTAGCTCAGTGGTAGAGCGCGTCACTAGTAATGACGAGGTCGTCAGTAAGTTATATCCAAACATAGATTGCGTACAAGACTCGTTGCTGACGATGCCGTGAAGGTTCAATTCTGGCGGAAGGCACAGTCCTCTCTTGCAAGAGCATATCTCTCTTTTTTTTTGGTTGCTAAACGTCCATTGTAGCCTCATTGTTTCCATTTGGTGGTTTTCCCGCTCGCTGGGCTTCGGGAACATGTCACGGATCGAACCCACGTTCTGTCATCCGATTGGGGCTAGCGCCACACTAGCTTCCGGCCCGTGCGGGAACATCAAACCTCTGCCCACAAGCGATTGATCGTTCGACAACGTAGTATCTCACGAGTAATGCAATCTCAACGCACATTTCCACCCGTTACAAACAGGCGACCGTGGCATCACGGGACTCGCACTTATGAGTCAGCTGCCTTCGCTACGACATTGAACACACCCATTGAATTTTAAGGTGAACAACCTAACAGACACCCGGTGGGCTTCAGAACATGTTTGAAAGCCAGTAGCCTGCAGCTAGATCTATTATCTGTTTTTACAGCTTTCAATGTCATAGTGTTACAGTTTCAGTTCAAGAATCCGGGTAGAGTATTTCCTAACCGATTCAGTCAACGTGAAAAGCTCGCGAAACAACATCTGTTCCCAAGGTTATCAACTTCTTTTTCCCTCTTCTCGCTGCCGATGACCTGTCCCTATCGCGACATCAAGCCGAGCAACAGTAATTATGAACTACAGCGGTAAATATTGCACAACTCACGACCAGCCCATGAAAAGCGTAGTTTTGCTGACAATACGCAGATATCCTCATCTCAACTCTTGTATTGTAGACGCGTAAGCTCAAAGTGCAATTGGCTACCTATTTCCCAGCGATAGTGACTAAATCCTGATCCTCCTCCTCCTCCTCGCCGACCTCGGCCACCACTGGCATCCGTCTTCGCGCCTTCGGCTTGTCCGCCCCTTCGTATTCCTCCTTGTCGTCACCGTCGTCGTCGATTACCACTGGCATCTGTCTTAGCGCATTCGGCTTGTCCGTCTTCTCCCCTTCTTCCTCCTTGTCACCCACCTCACAGTTAGGACTCTTGGTAGACGGAGGCTTGCCCTTGAGTAGATTGACGTTCTTCCTTGCCTTTACCAACACGCTCTTTGCCGACGCCAGCGACCCCCCTTGTCCGACCGGCCAGCTTGCCAAGATTTCTGTGTAGGCAGCGAGCAAGACAGCTCTCGCCGCCTCCCTCTTGCCGAGCTCGGGGTTCTTCGTAATGTACTTTCTCCCAAATGCTCTGAGTGTTACCCTCTCATCCTTGTCAAAGTCCACTAGGTACAACAACGAGTCGGAAGGTGGCGGGGGGAATTTGGAACTCCATACATCGAAAGCGCGATTGACCTCGTTTGAGAGGACGTCTAGCTCAGCTGAGACTGCAGCCTCTTGGTGGCTCGCGCTGGTGTCCCCCGACTCTTCTGCGTCCTCTTGGCTCTCGACAAGCGTGAAGTGTAGACTGGCGAGGAAGGGTCCAAGGTAGGCCGGGGCAGTGATCGGGTGCTTGCGGAGTGCAACAGCTAACCGACCGAAATTATCGAGATGGCTGTGTGTCGGAATGATGGAGTCCCGAGCCGTGATGAGGGTGGAGATGGGCTCAACCAACGGAGAAAGTCTGGTCGTCAAGTCTTCGCTGTCCTGCTTCTGCACCGCGACAGCACTCAGCGGAGACCCCAGGGCGTTGAGACAGGCCAGTATGGGTGTCGAAAGCTGCACTGCGTCTGTCACAAACAGACGCGAGAGCATACCTGGCATCGTGTCTTGGGAATCGTCAATGGTCTTGTCGCCAACATCTTCGCTCTGTTCCGTTCGCGTGGCACGCTTCACGCGCTTTGGTGCCGCTGACTGTGGCGCCGCTGCTGGGCGATTCGCTGAGGGTGTTGTAGGAGTGTTCGTTGCAGGCAACTCGGCGGACTGCAAGGAAGGTCAGTTAGCGGACGAGGAGTAGATGCAGCGATGCAAGATCATACTCTTCTGGGATACTCGCAGTACCGACTCCTTAGATCGGGTACGTTTCTAGTGAGTCGTACTTGGTCCTTGGACCTGGGGATGGTGGCGTTCAGTTCAACGAGGAATTGCTTCATGTTGCCCTTCGTCCCCAGAGCATTGAAGGCTTCCAGCTTCTCCTCGAAATCATCGCTGCTGCTCTCGAGCGCCTCGTCTTGCGCCAGTCTCTGAACGGGATGTTTAGACATTGGAGTAGGACGGGAAGGCGCGGAATATGCGAAGTAAGATCTGATATAGTGCTTTGCGGGAACGTAACGCGGCGAAAGACAAAAAACAGAGAATAAAAGCCCGTGATAAAGATAGAATTATGGAGGCGCCGAAATGAGGTTTAAGATGCCAGCCTGTACACGCGCAGCGTGTGGAAGGATTAGCAGGCGCGTAGCAGCAGGAGAAGGAGAAGAGAAGTGAAAGGGAAGACGCGGAGCAGACGAAGAAGACACGCGAGCGATACGGAAGATTGGCAGAAGAAGCGAATGGGGAGAAGATGCCGCGAGGTGAGGTAGGATGCAGTGCCTCGCGCCTTCCCAACCCACGCGCCAAGCAAACCTCACCTACCCAAACACTGCACTCACCATTCTCCACCGCTAGTCCTCCGTAGCCTTCATCCTCGTTTTCTCGGCGTTTGACTGTACCTTCCCATCGACAGCACCTGCGACCCCGAGCCTATACATCGAATACTTCTACCTCCCCGCTTGCCACTGCCGACTCACTGTCTGCCGACCGACTACAACGCGATGCCATTGATTACCCCACCCCAGCCCCCTTCAGCTAGGATGGCCGCGCGATTGGCTGCACTGAGCGATGAGCAGAAAGAGAATCTCAAAGCCACATCGGCGCGATCCCGCTTCTGTGACCATCAATCACCTGGTACAATTGCGCGTCGAAAGCAAGCCCGCAGCAATTACTGTCAGTACTGCCAAACGATCTACGAGATTGACGACGAGAAAACGATGTACAGAAGCGAGACCCTCATTGGGTACGTCTGTGGCTTCCTCGAATGCATGGCGATGGTGTCGGAGGGTAGACTCTCTGACAAAGTCGAGGCAAGTCACATCCAAATCCCACACCAGATAGAGGCTAACACCTCCCAGGCGAGGTCCCTTTGGTAGCTAAAAAGTGCACTCCAATTTTGGATCGATACGTATACGCACAACTTCCGATCCATCGAGACCGACTACCACTCCCGTGTGTCGGGACACATCCATATGGTCGCCGTCGAACAAGGAATATTGACAAGAAGCCGAGAGCGAAATGAACTCGGCGAGCTCGAGCTGGGTCTGATGTATGCCAGGGTCATGACACTCCAAGACAGTGTGCTGCAAACGAAGCAGCACTATATCGCATGGGTGGTAGCATACATCACCGCCGCCCGTCCAGGCTCGATTACGGTCAGCAAGGGCTACCAGCAGGGTGCTCCCCGCGGCGGCGCTATGAGCGACAGCATACCCACGCGCACTGAGGCTCATACACTCCAGTGGTCCGACGTAAAGTTCGAGAGGTTCGAACAAAACTACTCTTGCCTGGTAACGTTTCGCTTCAACAAAGGACACCAGGACCCGCACCGACAGAGCAGCCGGGACGGCTCCAGAGAGTTCTTTTCTGCCCCCAAACAAGAGCGCCTCCAATTAGACATCGGTGCCCTCCTGTTTGCGGAAGGTAAGTCGTGGACGTTCGAGAATCAGGTTCATACACTGACCTTCCATAGCGTATACTCGCGGCCTGTTCGTTCACCCGCTAGACGATCTGCTGACCAACGCCGCTATTCGTTTCCCTGTAACCAGAGGAGAAGTCGCCAGGCAGGCAGTCTTCGTCGTGGCTAATACGAAGGGCCAACTCATACCAGATCAAGAAATGCGACAAGTCGCCCTAAACAAACACCTACAGGACTTCAGCCTCGCCGTCGGGATCCTTTGTTACTTTTCTATGTATTCGTTCCGACGACAGGCGGCGCAGGAAGCGAAGAGCGAGTATTCAAGCGAGGACGCAATGGCGCTACTCGGCCACCGCGCGAGCAACCCAGATACTCTCCGCCATTACGACAAGCATGGCTTCGACCGAAGGGACATGACTTCATTCAGGCTGGGTGGCGTGCAACTCGAAGATGCATCCATACGTAAATTCTTCTCGCCCTCCAATCGACTCGTAAGCACTTTCTCTTTCCAGTATAATTTGCCCACTCAAGAGAGCCCTCTCACGCACACAACTGTTGTATGTTCGCTAATCTCGCCGAACTGCAGTGGACCAAGGACGCATCGTCCGGAGTACCAGGCAGATCTCTGAAGCAAGAGGTCCACGCACGCGTACGCCAGATGATCATCTTAGACCCTGAGTACAAGAAATTCGAGGCCGACCTACACGGCATCCTAAGCCAAATCCACCACAAGCTGCAAGAGTGCAACCTCATCTTGCCCGAAGAAGTATACAGCATCGAGAGCCGCAACATCGGCAAGTGCGAAAAGATGATGGGGGGGTATCGAGGAGGCCGCGATCATGGAACTCAGGGGAAAGTTGGACGAACGTATCGTTCAGCGGAAATTTGCCCGTGTGGCTGTCACTCAGCGCACCAAGGAAGCCCTTCGCAAGAGCATCGAGAGCACATCGGCGGAGAGAGGAAGGATGGGGCAGTATGTGAACGAGATGGACATTAAAGGAGCAGAAGATAACGAATACGTGGAAATCGTCATCGAGCTCGTCGGCTGGCAATGCACGGATCAGTCTGTACAAGCAGCTCATTTAAGAAAAGCGCCGAATAGGTCTGCAGACTACATCAAGACAAAGACTTGCAAAGTAGGTGACCTAATCTCAACGTAGGCTCCAGGGTGTTCAGCTTTTCGTAGGTTGGCGTGCGAGGGAGGGCCGTGTAGAGATGGGACGGGGGTGTCAACCTGCGCTTCCTATCAGCATGTGCTGAGAATGTAAGACGACTATACTTACGGGAGGAAGAGCCGATCTACCTGGGGCCATTTCTTGACGCCTCGGGTTCGATCCGAAGAGGTGATCGTCCGGCTGAGTGGTCCACGCAGATCCATAGTCGAAAAGTTCATCTGCGTCACCAAGCACAACACAAAAACCATCGCCACTATGCTCGTAGACCGCATGAGCAAACTGAATGTCATCCGCTCAGTAGGCTTCCCCCGCTACGTTCATCGAGCAATGCCAGATTCATCGCGACATCCTGCTGCATCACTTCCAACCCTTCCGATGGAACTCCTCCTTTGGTTTATCGACGATAATGGTGTATCCTCGTGCGACATCCTGTCTCTCCGCCTTACTTGCAAGGAGGTGAAACTGAAATGCCGTAACAGGTTCTATGACACCATCGAAAAGTCTACTGTATTCTTGCAGCTAGACGCTGGGTTTCCTGCTCGCGCACTGGCGTTGGCAAAGTACCAGGAGTGGAGTAACAACATCACGTCCGTCTACCTCTAGGTCCCACGAAACAAGTTCTTCTACGCATCAGAACAGGCGTATTGGAATGGAGGATGGGACATGAACACCACAAAGGACAATTTCGCCGATATGTGACTGAGACTATGACTGGTTTGTCCATAGATCGCTCTACACGTGCAGACCCACTTCAATACAGCTGAACATAAGAGGGTCAAGGGCGCATAGCTGTATCGTGGGGCTCTAGTATAGCGATGTTGCCACTCGTCTCAGTTGAAGGACTGTATTCTCTGGATGCTAAGATCTCTGCATTTCCAAGATCATCTCTATCCGACCGCGTTAGGCAGATGCTGACTAGAAGAAAGGTGTGTGCTTTCGTATTCTCGCATGCGATCTGCTTACTTATTTGTGGACCGAGCGCTTGAAGTCAGCTTCTTACACCTTGTTGACTAGGGTAAGAGTCTAATGAACTACAGCATGTGCGCGACGAGCCGAACACGTGGGGCTGCTCATTCTGCGAGTACAGTAGTTCTGACTACTCAAAGACTAGGTAGAGACTGCCCGCTCTACCGCATGCCGAGGTGACATTGGGACTTGCCATTCTCCACTAATCGTTAAGGTAGATCTACACGCCTCTTCCCTTACGTGCTCACCAGAATCTAGGCCGAGAATAAGATAATGTAGCCTGGCACCTTGGTTCAAGACATGCAGCGTGAATGTCGATCGAAGAAAGGATTTACCTTCCACTCTACTAATAGAAAGCTACAAACAGCGAAGTCGCATTCTATACGAGCACTCTGCAAAAATAACAGGACGATGTAGTCTGTCTTGATGGGATAGGCATTCGAATTAGAGTCACGGCAGAGGCTGAAGGCGCTGCGGGTACCTAGGTGCTGGCTGCATGAAAGTGCTGGCTGCATGAGAGCCAAGATAACTAAGCAGCCCATCTTCTTTTGACCGCCTGGTGCTGGCAAATGGCTTCAATCAGTGGTCAGCCAGCATGTGCGGTCAACCTTACTGCGGCCGCTTTCGGTAGCAGATTCCCCAGCCACAACCGTTTCGGGGTAAGTAGCGCCTCCTCCGCAGGCCAATGTAAGACATACGATGTACTGGAGAAGAAGTTAGTAAGTGTCTGACCGGGCCAGCCCTAGTAATATAGCCATATTAACTGTCGTGTAACCTAGGGCGATCTTCACTACATTGATCCCGCCAAGGTGCTTGAGATTGTCACGACGACGAATCACCATAGTAGTTCTATTCTGCGAACTTCATATGCCGGTTGCTGCATGCACATAGTCATCGCCCAGAACACTGTCTTTGTGTCTCGACGCCCGAACACCTCCACCCCTTATGCGATCAGCTTACCACCACCGTCATTGCCAGTCGAGAAACACCGTGTGCGCCTCATGGTTGTCAGTCAAGCTCTGCGGTGAGTAGTCGCAGAACGCTAAGTGGGCAAAATGACGGACAGTTATGTGGTAATAGCCTCAGGAAGGCTCTCAACCCCGAGACAGTAACCCAGTTCGGGACAGTGATAACTTTGTGTGCGTCCGAGAGGACTGGGAGAGTTGACCGATCGAAGTCAGCGGTGATGAAGAAAGAAAGAGGACTGCGTGAGGATGAGAAAGTATAAAGGACGGCCAGAAGCCGACCTGAAAGAACTCACCAAGCTTCAACATCATAACATCATTACCTTCACTACATCACCAGCCTTTCGCTCAACACCTCCTCAAACCATCAACATGCGTTTCTCCACCATGACCATTGCCGCCCTTGCTGGCCTCGCTGCCGCCGCTCCCAA